GACTTTGACACCATGCAACTTTGCGGTCCAACTGGGCCATTAAACCATTAACCTCAATGCTCTGCCAGGAAAGTGGCCTTACACAGAGATTTTCCCTGTTTGGGAGGTCCTCATCTGAACCTGAAGAATTACCTTCATGCCACTCTGATACAGCTGTTTCAGACAAAGACTCCTCTGATGACATATATGCAAAGGACATACATGCAAGGTACTTGTCCTTGTCTGACTAACTGACGCTAGTTGACTCCCTCAGAGCATATTGGCCTTTTAATTTTTTTTCTGAAAGAAAAATGACGAACCATGATTTAGCAGCCAACAAGTAACCCACAGTTGGTAAACAAGCATGTACTGCTCATACTCAGTGTAAATGATTGGGTTGCAGAACAATGACACAATGCTAAAAGCTGAAAACACTCTCTTAATCAAAGGAACAGTTTGAGGATATTTGTGAGAAAATTAATTTCTCCCCGCATTTTATTCCTACTAACTTTTTCATTAAATATATAATATGTTTTTTGGAACAGGTGTTAAAGTAGAGAGCAGAAATGCCTCTTTCTGTTGAATCTGCATTTGTTTCATTAAAATAAATTAATTCCCCTGTCATTCAAGAGCAGAACTGATAGTGTCCCACAGGTCACCAGGCTCTAACAGAGCACAACCATGACTCAACTGTACACATAAACCGTAAAACCGGTCAGAACCTGAGAAACGTAACATTAAGGCAACCCACATGTTGCTTAGAACAATAATTGATTAATTGTGGTTATTTGGCATGATAAAGCCAAAGCATTTACTTGCAAAATGAACTAACAAAGATCCCTCGACATCATTGAGCTGTACAAAAGGTATAAATAATGAGGTATTGTCGTTTAAAATGTGGAACAGTAATACAGTGGTCACTTGGAATGACACTTATGCTTCAGGATCTGGCAAGTGCCGTCATTCACAAAATGAGCCAAAATTAAGATCTCACAATATCACTGACCAGGGTTGTCATTAAGAGCCGGGGCCGGGATTTTCCCTGGCTACTAAAGAGTAGCCCCAGCTACTTTTATTGGAAAATAGAAGAAAAATAGAACCAAAAGAAATCCCTAGCCATTTGATTCCCCGCCTACTTGTTGTATTTACCCGGCAACTTGAAATCTTGGTGACAACCCTGACTGACCCATATTTATAAAGCATAAGAGTTTTGGATGGTACAATTTATGAAAGAAGAATCACTTGTCATTTAAATGTGGAACAATAATGCGGTGGTCACTCAGAATGACACATAGGCTTCAAGATCTGGCATACGCCGTCACTCGCAAAATGAACCAAAATTAAGCTCTCACAATATCACTGAACCATATGTGTAAACCATAAGAGTTTTGGATGGTACAATTTATGAAAGAAGAATCACTTGTCATTTAAATGTGGAACAAAATACGGTGGTCACTCAGAATGACACATAGGCTTCACTCGCAAAATGAAAAAAATGCCGTTACTCGCAAAATGAACCAAAATTAAGATCTCACAATATCACTGAACCATATGTATAAACCAAAAGAGTTTTGGATGGTACAATTTATGAAAGAAGAATCAATTGTCATTTAAATGTGGAACAATAATACGGTGGTCACTCAGAATGACACATAGGCTTCAAGATCTGGCATATGCCGTCACTCACAAAATGAGCCAAAATTAAGATCTCACAATATCACTGAACCATATGTATAAACCATGAGAGTTTTGGATGGTACAATTTATGAAAGAAGAATCACTTGTCATTTAAATGTGGAACAATAATACGCTGGTCACTCAGAATGACACATAGGCTTCACTCATAAAATGAAAAAAAATGCCGTCATTCGCAAAATGAACCAAAATTAAGATCTCACAATATCACTGAACCATGTGTATAAACCATAAGAGTTTTGGATGGTACAATTTATGAAAGAAGAATCACTTGTCATTTAAATGTGGAACAATAATACAGTGGTCACTCAGAATGCCACATTGGCTTCAAGATCTGGCATATGCCGTCACCGCATAAAATGAGCCAAAATTAAGACCTCACAATATCACTGACCCATATGTATAAACCATAAGAGTTTTGGATGGTACAATTTATGAAAGAAGAATCACTTGTCATTTAAATGTGGAACAATAATATGGTGGTCACTCAGAAGGACACATAGGCTTCAAGATCTGGCATACGCCGTCACCATAAAATGAACCAAAATTAAGATCTCACAATATCACTGAACCATATATGTATAAACCATAAGAGTTTTGGACGGTACAATTTGTGAAAGAAGAATCACTTGCCATTTAAATGTGGAACAATAATATGGTGCTCACTCAGAATGATACATAAGCTTCAAGATCTGGCATATGCCGTCACCATAAAATGAACCAAAATTAAGATCTCACAATATCACTAAACTATATGTATAAACCATAAGAGTTTTGGATGGTACAATTTATGAAAGAAGAATCAATTGTCATTTAAATGTGGAACAATAATACGGTGGTCACTCAGAGGGACACATAGGCTTCAAGATCTGGCAAGTGCGGTCACTCACAAAATGAAAAAAAATTAAGATCTCACAATATCACTGAACCATATGTATAAACCATAAGAGTTTTGGATGGTACAATTTATGAAATAAGAATCATTTGTCATTTAAATGTGGAACAATAATACAATGGTCACTCAGAATGACACATAATTATGCTTCAAGATCTGGCAAACTTGTGCCGTCACTTGCAAAATGAACCAAATTAAGATTTCACAACATCACTGAACCATAATTATGTATAGATGTAAAACAAGAGTTTTTGAATGTAAAAATTTCAAAAGGGAAATCATTTGTCATTTGAAATGTAGTAGAATATTAAATAATAAATTATAGTGACCACTGCTTTGTCAAGTGCTGTCACCTGAAAAGTACAGTAACCCCAAAGATCTAACATATTAACTCAGCCGTACAACAAGCCAAATTTCTGAATTATGGACATGTTAAGGTCACATCACCGACTTATATTGGTGTAAAAGAAATGTTTGCCTGCACAGCTCAAGATCCGGCTACTTAAGATTATTCTATTAATGAAGACGATGCGCAACAAAGAGTACAGTTATTTCTGCAGTAAACAAAAAGGAATCAATCAATGGCATATCTGTGCATGCATCTTAAATTTTAAGATTTATCTTTGAGGTTTTAAGCTTACGCAAAGTTATTAGAAAACCAAAGTAAGTAAACGAACCACGATATCAAGAAGAACATACCTTTCTGCAATCCAGCTGAGTTGATGACTTGGAAACAGGCTTTATGTGAAGAATATCGCAACTGATCACTGTCTCTCGAAAAACAAAGGTATAAATCGTAATAGAACAGCTGAATAGAAAGACAGGCTTTCTATTATCCGAAAATAACAAAACTACTTGTTTTGCAACGCTGTATCGCTTGTGAAGTCCGCGTGAATTTGAACTGTTCAACGAAAGTTTAGTTTACACTATTCTATTGGTTCAAAAGCCGCACGTGACAATGTAAATCAAATCGCGCATGTGCCAAAGTCACATGAAAGCCTGGGCAACAAACATGGCGGCTGCTCTTGCGACGGAGTGCATTCAGGACTACATTCACCCGGACGATGAAACTCTGCAATCTACTATTGAAATGACTCCTGGGTTCAAACCTTTCACATATTGTGCATTTTGTTCACCCAAATTGTAAATGGTAACGTTTTACGTCAGGGCCTCCTATTCCGAGACTTCTTGTGATATTTTTTTCCGTGCCACCGACACAATATCAGGAAACGCATTCGTCGACGCTAAACGAAAAAAAAGGGGGGATGGCCTTACCCGAAATAACCAGCTGCAGCAAGTAATATTATAAACTTTGAGAAGAATGTGATGGTGATTGAAATGGAAAATGCAATGGAAAATCAAAACTTGCGTGAAATAACACTGTGAAGTTTGGTAAATGTGCAAACGTTGGTTAAAGTGGTCGTAAAGATAGTTCTTTGATCATATTTTGCTTAAATTTACGCCTCTAGTAACCATAAATTTACACAGTAACTTTGCTATGCCAGAAAATATCAAGCAAACATTCAGTTTTGACGTTCGATTTTTACACACAGAACAAAATGGTGGCAAACTTGAATCTAAACACCAAATTTACTGTGGGGAGCAAAAGTGAAACAAAATATCTGTAAACTTGAAATTTACTCCACATTTACGCCACCCTTGCAGAAAAGTAAACTTTCACTTTCGAACAAAATTTGCACCAAGAACAAATAAGTAGCAACATTAGTACCCTAAATTTACAATAGATTTGCTCAACTAGCAAACTTAGGCAAATCCGTTTTTTCGTCCAGTGTAGGGGTCTGCCAGGTTTATGTGTAGTCTCGACGGTTGCCATATTGAAACCGTTTGAGAAAACATGAGAAAAGTACAAAACATCATCTGGAGAGACCATGCCACGCTTGAGAGGATTTATGGGGTACTGATACCTCTATCTTTGAGACTCAAGCGAAGGCCTCTTTAGTTTGCTGGTCTTTTTGCCACGGGGCTGAAACTCGGGACCCCAGAGCCGAAGCCGATCCAATCGGGATTCGGGACCGCTGAATAATGAACCCGCTGACCACTCGCTTACGCTGCCTCCTTCCCAACCTCCTTCCCCACTTAACTTGTCCCAAGAGGGTTTTTTGGCCATATATAATATATAAAACAAAGAAATTTCTTGAAAAAAAATTTCAGTGACCTAATAAATACACTAAATGCCGTGTCTCTGATTTCCTGACACGGTATTACAGTACTGATCTGGGAATTATTGAGACAACCTTAAAGACATCATTCTCCCGTTCCCATTTCAGGCTTTTTTTTTTTAGCAAATCTCAGCTTTCCCCAGAAAAGAGAAAAGAGTATGTACAGTTCAGGAGAGGAAGCGTGACGACGGCGTGACCAACCGGCGTTACAAGCCAGGATCACCTGACTGATGATCTTTACTTCTAGGAATGTGGGGTTTTTCCCGTTTCAGTTTCGAATCGTTCTTTACTTCAAGGAATGTGGGGTTTTTCCCGTTTCAGTTTCGAATCGTTCTGACAGTTCTTCCTTTCTTCAAGGAACGACTCCTCGCCATTTCTTTGTCAGCAAGTCTTAAACTCTCGTTTTGGGGATCAAGTCCACGAGAATTTTGCCACTATATCAAAATTTGGCCGTCAGTATGAATCAACCGCCTCGCAAAAGTGACTTGGTATGATTTATTTCGTTCGTTTCTTTAAAAACTTAAAAATCTGTACCTAAGTTGTAGGTCTTCGAATGTTTGAGGACGCCATTTTTGTCTTTATTAGTGTTACTGTGTTCTTAATTGGTACGACGAAAGTCAAAGTGAGAAGAACACTATTTAAATGAGTCTTACAAATGTTTTTTCAATCCATTTTTAGATTTAACTGAGGCCAAGGTGTTCAAGTTCACAAATCTGACAAATCGAAAACATGGTTCGACTTGAGTCAAAGGAGCGGTTGAACTACTTAAAGTTTAGCATCATTGTCTTTGATGAATTTCCCAAAGCCTTACGTCAAACTTTTAAGGTGATGTGGGACAAAAAATTTAGAGGGAATCAGTGGGACGACTCCGATGCTGTGAGAAAATTATTACACAGAAATGAATTCGGCAACAAGGGCATTCCTACACAAAAGTCATATGAAGAGTGGGATTGTACAGCGCTGTTTCAAGCCACACTCTATGCAAAGTCCTTCCGTTCACCAGACGGTACGGGTAACCTTAAAACACTCGATGAGCTGTATGTGAAGCCTCGTGGAGTCCCTCATGGACAGTTTCATGGCTCTGTCATCAGTGCAAACGGAGACCCCTATGAAACATTCGCGCTCTCTATCGACCAGCTAAGACGCCTCAGAAATTCACTTTGTCATTCTACCAGTACAGAGCTGGATCAAAACATGTTTGACCATTACGTTAATCTCGCCAAAGATGCATTCGAAGCCCTTTCAGTTAAGACGGACTCAATTGATGAGACTCTGCACGCGGAACTTCACACCTTGAGAGCAAGAGTTCTGACATGCGCATTTTTTTTTTTTGCCCCATTTAGGGGTGTAGACCATAACAGTTTGCTTTTTAGCGACTAATCCCATGATGCATCTTGACCGGATGTGCACCATAATAACAAACAAGATGGCGGACCACTAACGAACTCTAACGAGTCTTTTTTTTCACCTAAAGTAATGAACGTAATGCATATATACGCTACAAAACATCAGATTGACTCATTTTAATGTATTTATGAGTAAAGGATTTCCTATTCTTCAATTTTTTTCGGCAGGTATGTGCAGGTATGTACGCTTCATTCTTGAGATCCCGGACTCTATAGGAGTTCGCGGGACTTTTTAATTTGAATTTTATACAGTTCAAGAATGTATGAAAATAAACAAAATACATTTTAAATGCCATTTTTTGAAAAAAAAAAAAAAAACCAGCAAGCAAGAAAGAAATAGATAGAAAAGGACTCACCTTGTGTTTGTGTTGTGTGATTTACTTTCAGTTCACCTCTAGAGCCATTATTAAGTTTTACAATATGTAGATTTTGAGTTTATAATAGGCCAAGTAAAAAAAAGTTTCTCGTCCCCACCTGCTTTATTTTTGGGGGGCTGCCTCCCTTTTCTATTATTTGTTATTGAAAAAGTTGGACTGAACAAAAGTCATTACTTTCAACACTGTTACCCAAAAATCAATATCTTGACGGCGACAGACTCCAAGTTATCCCTGGGAGAGGGTTAAAATTTGTAAAGAAAGAATACCGAGAATTGGTAATAATAAAGTTAAAAAGTGCCCACTGCTCTCTTTGTTAAAGAAATCCGGACAAGACACATTTCTTTTTTTGCTTGGCCTTTATTAACAACCTGATAAAAAGTCTTCCAAATGGCCCTAGAATCAAACAGACTGTAAAACACACAACACAAACACAAGGTGAGAGAGCGGCTGTACACAAACTAAAGTATATGTATGAGATCACATGCCATGTGTGACATCACAATGCCTCAAACAGTTTGGTTGGTTTGCCTGTGTACAAACTTTCTTCCTTGAGCTTATTGCGTTTGCACTTTTTGACATACAAGAAAAACAAAACTTAATTTCCATCCTAGTGTTGATTGTCTCTCAGACAGTTGCAAAAGCAACCGGGCTAAGTTTATTTTGTCGTGGTTTTCTTGTTAAGCAATGGCACTGACACCAACCAAATTGATTGAAATTAGCTCATTAGCTTAGTGTTCTATTCTTGCTGACATTCATCAACACACAAGGTAAATTTCAACAACGTTGTAAGTCTCTCTCCGCAAGGCCTTCACCCTCTTAATTGCTTCACAAGGAACAATAATTTGACAGTTTGAAAATGATATGGTCTTTGATTCGGTGCATCAAATGTCTCTTCATAATTTGGTGTGGTAGCACAGGTAGCCCAAGCTCGAGATATGAGCATCGGTGAGCATCGGCATTGTTGCATAACATTCAAAATATAAGGATTTGTATGGGAAAAAACCTATCGTTTCTTTAACCTACGGAAGTGAAAGGATTCACAATAAAAAACAGCTTACCTTACTTAAAATGTGTGTTGCGTCTCTCCTGTGTGGTCCACGGGCAGATTTATGGCCGTTTTATGGGTTTTTATGTGAACGGTTTTCTCTCTATATAAAGGTTTAGGTAAACCTTTATATCAGACACTTGAGATATAGCGATGTAACATTAACTTTATTTACTTTATTTCAAGGCATATCTTAAGTTAATCATCTCTGTTTCTGGACTAGTAGATGACAGAGAAAACTCTTTAATTATAATAATAATAATAATAATAATAATTAGTAATTTATTAATATTACTTTTTACTAATATCATTATAAGTATTATATATACAACAAAGTGGCTATACATCAGGCCAGTTAAAAAGTGCCAAAATCAATGTAAAGTTGACCAGAAAATTCCAATCGACAATCTTTGTTACAGGGCCCAGTCTTGCACTTCCTTCTGTCCATTTTTAAGATCCTCAAAATTTTCCTGAAACATTTACCACTGAAATGAAACATCGTACACCCATTAATAATTGACATTGACAGGATCATATATCACTTTTTAAGTAGATATTTTTTTTTGAACGAAACGTGCATTGCATTTTGCCACTAAACTAAATTCCACGGATATTCAAAAATGTAAATTGTGTTTGGGTACCCTCCTATGATGTTAATGAAATCTGTACAATCTTTGTTACCAAGCAGAAGAGGAGGATGTTCCAAGGGTCCATCCTTTACGAGTAGAATTCATTGGACGAAAAAATGAATTTGCTTTAAATTTGCTCATGTGCAAAAGTGTGCAAACTAAGGGTAAAATCTGCGCAAAGGTGGCAAATGCCAAATCTGCAAACCCCTTCACACAGGGGTGCAAATAGGTGTGCAAAATTGGCATTTACCACTTTTGTGCAAACTTTACTCTTAGTTTGCACGTGAGCAAATTTGAGGGAAATCCATTTTTCCGTCCAGTGATTCAAGTACACGGTAACAGGCCAAGGAATTATAACATGCATGCAAGCGTGACTGGTAGGAGGGGGTGTGGGGGAGAAGTAATTTGCCTCAAAAAAGTTCAACAGTCCTTTCTGAGCCAAAGTTTGGACCCCCCTAATAAAAAATTCCTGGATCCCCCCCTTGCTATAATCACCTTTGATCATAGAACCTCACTTGACCTGTAGTCAGGCATATCATTCTGATTACAGCATAACTGAGCCAATAAACTAAACGTTACTGATCATTTTCCCCCCTTCTAAGTGTTTCAAGTTGATCTGATGAGAAGTGAAATTGTTATAATTTATTACAATCAAATGTTTAAAAAAATGCTGGTAATGAAATAACTAAGACATAACAATTAAGTAATTAATTATTTATCCTGTGCGTCAAAAGTTTTTATTACTTACATCAACATGCTAGCTACAGCTTGCCCAGGCAAGCTGTAAAACTATTTTTATTGAAGTTTTAGTGTGGGATAACTTTATTATTTTGTGGATTTCAAAGCCTTAATCAACTGAATGTTTGCTACAGTAAAAACCTACAAGTAAGAGCCTGTTACGCCGCAAAATGTAATAATCGCCGCAAAATGTAATATTAGCGCAAAATGTAACAAGAATCGCCGCAAAATGTAATACTAACGCAAAAATGAATAAAATTTTCAACGCAAAATGTAATAATATTTCAACGCAAATTGTAATAACTTTTCTGACGCATAATGTAATAATGCAAAATGTAATAATTTCAGAATAACGACGTGCATGCTATTTCAAAATCGGTATTGTGGCTCAGTAATCAGTAGCTGATCCAGATCTTCATTTTAATTATTATTATTATTATTATTATTATTATCAATATTGATGTTAATAATAGTAATAATATTTATTTTCTTCTTATTATTCTATTCTTCTTCTTCTTATTATTATTATTAATAAAATAACGGTTGAAACGTCGTGTTTCTTCCGTGCTGAGCTAGTCTCCCTCGCAGCCGTGTTTTGTCTCATCACGCAACACTCTTTCGCAACAAAGGAGGAGGAGCGTTGCGTGACGAGACAAAAATGGCTGCAAGAGCTTGCTGTACTGTACCACAACTGTAGCAACTGAGAGACTTGGTTTAATTTCAGATGTTGAATTTAATTCAGTCAAATAAAATAGCTGTTGTCGAAAACAAGTAATAGAATCAACTTTCAAAGCATAATTCAAATCAGTGCATTTAAACTGTGTAAGATATCTGTCAAACTTTTTTTCATGAGAACCAGACAACTTTGGCTGTAGCTTACTTTTCCTAAGTTCTCACTTAATAGAGGCTTAATTGTTCTTAATGCTGTTTTTTAGGTCGAAGTTTCTTTTATGTTGAAGTTTCCAAGCTTTGCAAAGTCAAATCAGTTTGCCTTGTAAGGCAGTTGTCGTTTGCCTAGAACAGATAGCATAAAAATTTTTTAGTTAGGCCAGTAACGCATTTTTGATTGCAGTAGAGCTAAGCTGATGCACAAAAATATTGAATTTGCCTGGTAAGGCAGTTGTGATTAGAAGCACAGGCCATCCTCTTTTTCTTTCTCCGTTTAGCGTCGTCCGACCGACCCGTAGTTAAACCATTTTTCACTTGAAATAATTCTTTTAATCTGAAAAATGAGCATAGTAACAGCATAGAGAAAAACAGGAACAAAGACATGAACATTTTTTACAGTAAATTGTGCATTTGTTAATCCAAATATGTGAATGTTAACTTTTAACGTCGTCCTTGGGTACCAGGACCTCCTATTCCGAGACTTCTTGTGATTTTTTTTTTGCAGTTTTTTTTTTCTTTTCAATCCGACCGACCGACTGAATATCAGGAAACGCATTCGACGCTAAACGAAACTTTGAATTTGCTCAGCAACGCAATCGCCATTGGCTTAGAGTCGTCGGCACAAAATCTTGAACTGGGAGATCCAAAAAAAGTGCTCATTTTCGTCTTTTTAGGGCCGACCATTTTTGACCACTTGGGCGGAGGGTGTATGGGTTAGAATTTTTGGATAATTATGGGAAACTGTCAACCGATTTTGAAATAGCATGCACGTCGTTATTCTGAAATTATTACATTTTGCGTTATTACATTATGCGTCAGAAAAGTTATTACAATTTGCGTTGAAAGATTATTACATTCTGCGTTGAAATTTTATTACATTTTGCGTTAATATTAATTTTGCGGCGATTCTTATTACATTTTGCGTTAATATTACATTTTGCGGCGATTATTACATTTTGCGGCGTAACAGAGCCCGCTGCAGTTTCAGTCTCTACCTCAAATATAATCTGAAAATCAAATAATAATATTTTCTTAAAAAAATGACTACATTAAGAACCTGTGAAGTATAGCTGACTATGTGATACCTGTGTCTTCAAAAAGGATTCCAAATGTTGACTTACCTCATTTCCCCAAATGTGCATATTTTTAAAAAATAGATTTTAGATAATAAGAACCTGTTTGAAATAGGCTGAACAGGTTTTTGTATATGTATAGAGATCAGAGAGGTCTCAGTACAGTTGTATCTGCCAATGCTTAAGAGGTTCTTAGAAACTAGTTTCTTACTTGGGTTTTTTAACTTTAGCCTGTCTAAAATGTGAAAAAAAAATATGTGTTGATAAGCAAACATTTATAGATGGTTTTCTAAGGCTTTTTTTTCTCCATATACTAATACTACTTTACTAGGCAAATAGGTCCTGCAAAATAACTGACATATAAAACTGATGTCTTGACTTTTCAACAAATACTATTCACAATTATCCGAGGGAGATAGCTTTGCGGGGAACATTGCTGAGAATGAGCGTTTGTATTAGGGCCTAAAGGGAAAGCATCCTTTTGTTTTCACTATTAAAATACCGTACTCAGTTTAACAAGTTAACGTTTTCTATTTATTTTGAGTCTTTTATTGCGGTCCACGAGAGTATAGAGAAGCCTAATTTTTCATTGTGTAGCCTGTGCTAACCATGTGGGATGAATGGAGTTTGGTGACCATATTTTCTGTTTCTCTGTTGTTCCTTTTTCCATGCAAGAGTCGCACTGGAACTGAACGTATTTCCCTAATAACTAGTCTTTAAAAGTTAATTTCACCAATAAGACAAAGTGTGTTTCCACTGTCTATTCAATATGCAGAGGGTTATTTTGACAAACCCTTCTAACAATCTCGCCTCCCCTATTACGCAGACTAACTCGCCGTCCCAACTGGGCTAGCCTGCGTCGCAGACACTCTAAACCGCCTGGATAGCTAAGTAGTGTGCATATAGACGTAGTTACCGGTGAGTTGTAGCAAATGGATTATGGTAACAGAAGCAGATCATTCCTATAATTCATTTCTTTAATTCAGCAAATACAAAGGAAATCCTGCTTCAACCCTACAAAGGATTTCACCTACGACAGCCGCACCAAAAATGTGTCATCTACAAATGCCACCGAATTTTTCAAAATTAAGTTTGACAAATTTTGTATGTTTAGACTTTCACAAAGCGTGTTCGTTTATCTCAATACGACAAAAAGGAGTAAATTTTAGATCTTTACAAATAAAAGAACTTTCATTAATACTCTTTCAAAGCTGTGTTAATTGAATGATTTTCTTTGTTTGCCAGCTAGCCGAAATGATGTTAATGACTGTGTTAATTTTAAATTTAGCCCGAGAGCATTAGCTCTCTATTTAGGGCAAATCATTAAAGAGGCCTTCCAAGGGGGTATGCTGTCCTTTTGTTTGTCATTCCTCAGGCTGCCTGTAGCCTGGTAGTTTGGGAAAAAATATCGCTGTCGCATTTTAGCAAGGTCGAGAAAGTCGCTGTCGTTTGTCATATATTTTTGTGATACTCAACTTGAAATTTACGCCAGATATACAGGATATAGAGCCACGAAAGAAAAAAATGTTATTAAACTTTCTCCCTCGTGCTGAAAAGTTATACGCACATGCGTTCTCGCGCAGATCGCTTGGCTCGCCCGAATGGAGAGCTTGAAACCTCACTATCAAAAATTTTGTGTAGACTTAAATAAATAAGCTTAACATGCAAATTTAAGAGATTTTACATTACACAGTGGCCGGCTGGAATAAAGATATACTCAGTACGGATTCCAATACTTTCCTTAACTTCCGCTTTTAAACGCCACCGCGTCAAACTGGGCTGGGCTTCTTGTGTAGTAAAAACGCTTAATCTTGTTCTGAAACAATTTGTCCGTATATGACGTCTCCATACTTAATATGACTATACGGATAATTTAGAAGACTGTTTACTTATTGTCCTTGCATATTTAAGCCTGTTGCAAGCTCACATCCGCCTTCGGACTGTGACCTTGGATGTTACGTCATAAGCGCGAAAAATTTCTCGTCCTCATTTTTGTACCATCCAAGCCTCGAAATTGTTTTCACGTAACAACATTTTGTGGAGGATAGACAAAAGGTTGTTTTCTGTTTCAAAAGCTGAAAGTTCCTTTAAAATGAAATTACCACCAGCGGTTACCCCTCGTACCAGCCTACGTTTCGTGGCTGTGTCTGTGATGTTCTGTGCTATTCTGGTTGACATTTTTGCACTTGAAGAAAAACTGGCGCGAAAACCGCGAGAAGAAGATCGCGTATCTGAGGGCACTGAAGTTGGTGGAAAACAATCGCAGTTGTACCGTGATCGAAGAACGGTGAAAAATAACGCGACCCCCAACCTGTCGGAATTTGCAAACCGGCTGAAAGATCTTGAAGAAAGGTATAATCTTAACTCGGCGATTCGCTATGAATCTCGCTTTTCTATCACGTGGGCAATGTTAAATGTTGGTTACGTGTCACTATTCTAGATTCAAACTGCTAAGAAAATGGTGAATTTACTAAAATCATTTCTCTTTTTAAGCCACAACAAGAGCGTACATTTGATGATCAGACGATTTCAAGAGTTGGAGAAAAGGTTTGAGAAATAAAATTAAATGCATCATTACCGTGTAATTGCTTTTTAAAAGCTAACAAGTACTTCCGAAATTGTTACCCCTAAGGATTGCATAGGAAACCCGTTCGATTTCTTGTCTAGCGAAGAATGTTATTTCACCCATTTCCAACTTGATGTAGAAAAGGGAAAATACCGAGAAAGTCCCTGTTATCCAGGCCGGACACGTATTTTATATGGACGGCACTGGTGGATGCAGTGGAAGACTTGTGTGAGAACTGAGTTTCATCCAAAATCCGCTTAACATCGTTCAGTGTAGTGACCAGAGTTATTGTTGATTATCTTTTATCTTTTAGCTATAAACTGACTTGATTACAGACTTAATTCACATCATCGACGCAATTATTTACCAGAGCAAAAGAAGCTTGATAAACAGCTGTAAAGGAAATCAATAAAAGAAAACACCGTTTAACACAGGGGCACCCAACGGCTGTTTTCTGTAAAATATCTGTTCGGAGAAGCAAATATTGCCTCACATTTTCTCTTTCTCGAGGAGGGCTAAAAATTTCTAGATAACCATTCCACTCATGTACAATTTTCGCACACGACCTATCTGATATGTTACGCTCCATTTTAACGTTCGGCGCAGCGCAGCCTCGCCCCGTTACAGTGAGCGGAAATGAAATGTGTGGACAGAGGCCCTATCCGGTACAGTGTGAACATGGCTTAAGTCACGGCGAAAGTCCTTGTTAGGCTGCGTGCAAACGGACGCAACAACTCCCAACATTGTTGCGCCAACAATGTTGGGAGTTGTTGCGTGCGTGTTGGCAATGGTGTGCAAACGGATGCAACAACTCCCAACAATGTTGGGACCTGCAGTGCATCGTGGGAAGGATATACAACCCATAAGTCTTTGTAAACCAAACGTAATGAGCATACGTGGCCCCAACGGTGTTGGAAGAGCTGTGCAAACGGATTCAACATTGTTGCGCTACGCTTCGGCGATCACGGAACAAAAGAAATGTTGGGAGTTGTTGGCTGAAAAGTTTGACCGGTTTCAAACTTTGCGCAACAACACGCAACAACATCCAACAACATGCAACAGGGTGTGCAAACGGACGCAACATGTAACATCCAACAATGTTGGGAATTGTTGGTCAACAGTGTTGCGTCCGTTTGCACGCAGCCCTAGACTGTCTCTGAGATCTTTTATAGTTGATCTTTTTTTCAGACTTGATGGCTTACTGCGATTATCTCCTCGACCAGCAGGGGAATCCTACGGGTCACTTTTGAGCTACCTTCTTGGTAAAATACGATATTAAATCCAGTCGAGAGTTACCTGAGGCAATAATAGTAATAATCAATATAGGCAAAATGATGTCAGGTCCATTTGGCATGGTAAATGTGCGGTGATTTATGGGTGATATCACTGGCGTGTCTCTATTTCAGGTCAGCATATGCAAAACCCTGGAAAGGGACGAGTTGGACCACCCGGCCCTCCAGGGAAACAAGGGCCAGCTGGATCAAAAGGATCAAAAGGTGAAAAGGGAAAACGACAAAGATCGAGGATATGAAGGGAAAAAGGAAAATTGTATAACACCAACTGTAAACGCAGCGGAGAGAGCAAATGAAACTCGTTTTGTAATTTCAGTTTTATGTTCCAGCAATTAGAAGTTAGCCGGCAGTAAAGAAGAAGTGCGGTTATCGATGTTAAATTAACATCTCAGTTATTTTCTGACAAAGTATTTCTTTTGCGGTTCTTGCAGTTTATGATCATGGAGTGTATCGATTGCAAGCCAGCCAATTTTCAACCGCTACACGCGTAAAAGCAAATGTGGATTGTAAGAATTCCATAGGAGAAAAAAGCACCTTTATGGATACCACCTTTTAAGCACTAAAATAAGTAAAAAAGCTGGCATCGAGTGCTTTGACTCATTTTATACTCTGCAGGGGAACAAGGAAAACCAGGTACCAACAAGCCATTCCCAGGCCCCCCTGGTCCAAAAGGAGACCAGGGAGCAGTTGGGAAGACTGGAGCGCAGGGATCACAGGGTGCCAAAGGAGAAAAAAGGACAGGATGGAGTTGGGACATCAGGAGTGAAGTACGTTCGGTGGGGAAGGACCACATGTCCTAGTGGTGCGCAGATAGTTTATAAAGGTAAGCGAAAAGGAGCTTAGTTTGATAGTTACTATTACTCCTATGGTCCTAAAGACAGAAAGAGTGATAAACTGAAGATTTTTATGCCACATACACTTACTAATCATTATTTAAAAGTGACAACTATGAAATTTCTCCAAACTTGTCACATTTACTGGTCAATAATCCGGGCATCTCTTTAAGTTATCTTTTTGTTGTATCTTTCCAGCATATTTTAAACCTTTCAGTGTAACTGGTTCGTACCTGTTCATGCATAAAACAGACGGAAATCTGGGTATGAGATAAAGACCCTTGTTTTTCCTAACAATGCGCGCTCTCACAGCATTGGTTACGTTAAGGTCACATGAAAATGTATCCCGCAAAAAGTTTTTTTACAGGCAATATTGCAAACTCTATGTCATCGATCAGACCCCTGAACAGTGAATTATCACCCACGAAGCATAAATGATTGCCGCTTGCTGAAATTTAGTTTCATGAATTTGTACAAGTAGGCTTTTCTATGTTTTAGTGATCAATATAAATAGACAAGGAAATGACAAAAAAAGGGATAGTGTAATTCTAGAGTACTGTATTAAATTTTTGCTTCAAAATGTTACAGCCATTTGCGGTTTGTGGTCTTGGTGTTTTTTGAAAAACATCTGATCAGTTCGCTATCTTAATATTCAGCTCTTAGCGATATTGCGTGAGCTAGATGTTTTGCCAATTTTTTGAGTAAGAACTAGTCAACAGAATCCGATGGTTGATGTTTTTGAAGGCACGAAAAGATTTCAAACTATTTTAACTGCGTTTTCCGATTTACTTTTATAGCAGAATGTTTTTCGTTTGCAACAACAGTTTACTTGAGTAAAAGATGCCATTCTGTTAACTCAGCATTTCCTTACAAGAGAAATTCAGTTGCCTAGAAATCAAAGTTAATTTATGACAAAAGAAAATGAAAGCAAATGTTCGCGAAAATTCTTTATTTCAAATAACCAGGACAGAGAAAAGACGCCTTGCCTCCCTCAACCGCTAGCCGCCATACCATACACTTGTGAAGAGCGGAACAGGAAACCTTTTAATTAACTTGGCGCGTTGACAGAATTTCAAAGAATAATTGTTGATAAATTTTTTTGCCTTGTATCAGGTATAATGGGTGGAGAATATTTCAATCACTATGGTGGTGGAGCGAACTACCTGTGCCTTCCACACAATCCAAAGTATGACAAGTACAAAGATGGCCATCAGCGCTCCGGATACATGTACGGCACTGAATATGAAGTGATTCAGTACAGCGGTAACCCTTTTAAGAGAAATCTTCACAATCATGAAGCACCATGCGTTATCTGCTTCGTCAAGTCACGTGGCTCGATGCTGATGATGCCTGCCAGGAATGACTGTCCATCTGGATGGACCGAGGAGTATCATGGGTACCTGATGACAGAAGATTATAACCACAAGCATTCACGTGATTTCATCTGTGTTGACAAGGATCCAGAGTTTGTTCCTGGTAGCCATGCGAGCAAGGATGGTGCTTTGCTGTACCCTGTGGAAGGTGTTTGTGGCTCACTGCCATGTCTTCCTTATGTCAGCGGTAGAGAGTTAACATGCGCTGTGTGCACCAAGTGAAAGGAAGATACCTGTCACTGTGGCATGGCTGCCATACCGATGAGCTACGCAAACCAAATAATAATGGTTAAATCAGTATATACGATTGTAATTCATATTTTTTTGGAGAACAAGTCAACCTTTACCTAGATAAAACACACTGCGTTATCTGGTCCGCTAGCACTATGGCGCCAGAAAAGTTCGCTGTAAATTAATTCGGGATGTAAGCAATAACAATTAAAAGAAGGTGAAAACATTGATAAACAATGTCTTTCTTTACTTTATTTTCCAACTGATTCCAACAAATAGGTGGAGAGGGAAAATGACGGCTACTCTTTTGCTTTCAACAAGTCGTTCTTTTTTGAGTCCAATCTCGGAAAGGAAAAAGACATGCAAGAAAGGAGAATTTCCTCATCATATTGTAGCTCGCCTAAAAGACGTTATTTGGGGTTCACGAGCTACTAACGCGGAGCGCGAGGCTCCCCAAGGAAACATATACAATAGGAAATTTGTCTTAGAGACCTGAACGCCTGCGCTACCTGTGAACTTTGAATCTAGGTTTGTCGCGCACACGTCACACTGCGCTCGCAGCTTACGTGCATGATCAATATATTTAATTGTACCTGGTAGGGGACGGACGGGACGGTGAATTTTGTGAAAACAAATTATGGAGTTGTAATCCGGCGAGCTCTTTCGATGTCTACTCTATGGAAGAACACCTAAAAAAATGCGAGATCATTAAGAAACAGTCCAGATAAGAACGATAGCAACAACGGCAACGAACATGTTGGAATGCAAAAAAGGTGCTAACTTTTCTATTGTCTGTACTTACTTCTGATTGGCTTAAACAGCAAAAGTTAACAAAACTTCATAAAGCAGTACATATATTCATCCTTCCTTTCCAACCATCTTCTATATAACAAAATCTGGTCTCAGTTTGAATAACAAAGAAATCCTATGTGGGGAAAATGTAAAATTGTAAACGTTTCTTGGCTATTGTTTTCAACTCTTCTGATTGGTCAAAATCTTTTCACAACAAAAAAACACCCTTTCAAAGTGGAGTGTAAATGCATTTTATTAAGTAACCGGCCTCCATGTAGGTTCATGCATTCTCTGTGTAAAAATGAGCGCATTAATTGCTATGTGGGGAAAGCACCGTCGCCGCATAACAAAAGAAATTGCTATCCATCTTACCCGGATCATTACTTAATGCGTTACAAAACACATTGGTGACGAGAATTAAGGACATGATCACACACGATTAATTTATTTAAAACTTCAGCAAATTCTCCCACCAAGACCACTAATTATATAGGAAACGTGTTGGGACAACAAAGTGGATTAAACGATGGATTGTTATGAAGGAAGCTGCAAATTTTACACAAACTTTTGCTCAGTTTCCTACTCGCCCCGTGTAAGTCCCTCCTCGTTTTGGGAAGCCATGATATCGATCCTTTCGAGCAATCACTTTCTTCAGTTTTGCATTATATTTATCTCTTTTGAGTAGAAACCCGTTGGTTGGTGGAAATTGTCCCAAGGTTGGTGCAATTTAATGATATTTAATTTTTAAAACTTGAATTTTATATTCAAGTTATTGCTTTCTAAAATTTCTCAGTGAAATCAACAAGCTTAAGTTTGTGATCGGTGAAAATGTCTGGTTCATTCAGATTTCTTCTCTTTTTATTATTTTCATCCAAGCACGAGGCACTACTCGATAACTTCAAGTCTAGTTATTTTTTTTTTAGACAAAGGGGATTCAATTGAGGTAAGATTTTACAAACAAATTGACTGTTCTTATCTTAGTATAAAGTGTTTGAAGCCTAGTTTAACAGTCGTTTTTATAAACGCAACATTAATGATATTTTGTCGTTTTCTCGATCGTGGGCATTCAGGTTTGGGCTCAACTAAGGGCCTGTTTACATGGAGGTGAGAGACCCCAGGTGGGTAAGGTAACCCGCTTAGCTGGGGTAAACCGCCTTTCCATATAGTCTATTGTTTTGATTTGATTGCGTTTACATGATAGGTGAGGTGACCCTCCAAGGCGGGTAGCCCGGTCTGCCAGACCGCGTAACCCTCTCAGCCGTGGCCAAATTTGGCCACGTAAACGTTTCAAGGTGAGGTAACCCTCCTAGCCGGGTCGGATTCGTGATACATCAAATTCGCCCAAAATTCACTTTGGCGGTGGCTTTGCATCATTATAAGTAACAATAAAAAGCCACAGCACCGAAGGTATAAGCAAGAGCAGCAAGTGAGAGCAGAAGCACATTAATCGCCAAAACGCGTGGTCTTGCAGCATTTTTCTTGTTTACGTGCTCAGCGACTCTTCAATAATCTTGAGTAAGTGCACTCCGGGATGGCGTGGTTGTAAGATTGCATGTAAACGCGGGATATTTTTTTACCGCACCTAAGCGGGTTACCTCACCTCCCTGGGGTCCCCCACCTCCATGTATCAGGCCCTTATTCCCGAACTGTGGGAGGATAATCGCGTAATTGTGAGTAAAAAACTTACAGATACAATGGTAAGGAACTTTTTATCTTGAAAACCACGCAAACTTTACAGGTTGAAAAAATTAAAGGTTTGTTTTTAGTGTAAAGTGCACTTAGCTTATCCAGTTAGTTTACAGGCACTCCATTCAAATAACTAGAAACAAATAACCCAATTAGAACATAACAGGATTAAAAACCCCAACTGACAGTTGGCTATTAACAAGCGTGGCCGAAGATTTAAACTCGGGGCGACGAGAACTAAATCCAGCAAGTGACCAGCCCAGGACTCAAACCCTTGACCGCCGGATTGCGAGTCTGACAAGGTGACCACTCGTTTATGCTGCCTCCTTAAAGCTAGAGCGAGTTATAAAGCAAAAACAGTCTGAATCAGAACAGTGTAGATGATGTGGTTCAAAGTTTTCTTTGCACTGATAATTTTGAAACAGCTTAAAAAGTTTGTCACAATATGAATCAACTTAGTTATGTAAGAAACTACATCACTATGACTTAGGAAAGGTGTTGACAGTTGTGATAGGGCCAAAAAGCTTCTGAGTAGTGACTATTTTTCACAACAGAAACAAACATTGTGCATTCATTTCAATTTTTGATTCTATGGATCAGATTCTAAGTAACTGCCCAATGTTCTTACTTTTTTTTTTTTTTTTACCTTAGCCTGTCCAAAATGTGAAAATAACCTTTGTTGATGACCAAGCTTTTATAGATGGTTTCCAAGTGAAGGTTACGTTTTTCTCCATATAATGATTACTATACTTTACTAAACACATAGGTCAAAAAAAGAAGATCATCACCGCAAATAAAACTGATGTCTTGATTTTTCAACAAATTCTATTCACAATTATCCGAGGGAGACAGCTGTTATTTGCGAACAACATTGCCGAGAATGAGTGTCGTTTATCTTGCTATTCATTGCAAAATCACATTTGATATTTGAATTTTTGCATAAATTATGAGAAAATGTATCTGATTATGGGCTTCCAGAGGGCAAAATACTTTTTTGGGAAAGTTTATTGTATGCTCTCTCAAATGAGGTATAGCTTTCTAAGCTAGGGTAAGTAACAGTGTAGATATAATTGTTTTAAAATGTGTGGTCAATTAATTTGCTGTTTGCGCGTCTGTCATAAAAGAAGAGCATCCTTTTGTTTCTTTCACTATTAAAATACCCTACTTTAACAAGTTGAACGTTTTCTCTTTATTTTTATTCTTTTATTGCGGCCGACGAGAGTAGACAGAAGCCTAATTTTTCATTCTGTAGCCTGTGCTAACCGTGTGGGATAAATGCAGTTTGGTGACCATTTCTTATCTGTTTCTCTGTTTTCTTTTTTCCATGCGAGATTCGCACAGGAACCGAGCATATTTCCCAAATTATGCGATTACTTGTAAAGTTAATATCTCAAATGAGACTTAGTGTGTTTCCACCTCTGTTCAATATGCAAAGGGTTGTTTTCATCAAAGAAAAACAACAAACCTTGCGAGCAATCTCTCCTCCCCTGTTACGAACACTAACTCACCGTCTCAACTGGGCTAGCCTGCGTCGCACACACTCTAGAGTGATTTTACTTGACCCGTGAAATAGATAGTAGAATACTACGCACTATTATGCACTAATTTCATTGTATTCTTTTGTTTGCCTCTCGCTATATTCAGCACTACCTATTAGTATCTGTCTCACGGTTCAAGTAAACAGCTGAAGTAAAATCACTCTTACTGACGTACAACAGCCGCACCAAATTTGTGTTATGTTACCGAATTTTGCAAAATTAAATCTGACAAATTTTGTCTGTTTAGACTTTCACAAAGCGTGCCTTTTCTCAATCAGTACTAAGCAGAGTAAATTTTAGAGGCTTTGTACGTCATTTCTGAGGCAGCCTGTCCCCTGGTAGGTTTTGTGATACTCATTTTAAAATTTACGGCAGATGTACAGACGGGATATAGAGCCACAAAAGAAAAAATGTTATTTTAAACTTTCTAACTCGGTGGATGAAAAGTAACGCACATGCATTCTCGCGCGGGCCCGAATGGAGAGCTTGAAACCTCACTATCAATTTCCGAAGGCTTAAGTAAATAAGCTTAACCTACATGCAAATTTAACAGATTTTTCCTTATTTTGTGGCCGGCAGAAGTAAAGATATACTCGGTACGGATTCCAACACTTTCTTTAGCCTCTACTTTTTAAACGCTAACGACCGGATTCAGCCTGGGTCAGGCTTCTTGTGTAGCAAAAATGCGAAATCTTGCTCTGAAACAGTTTGTCCGTAAATGACGTCTCCAACTTAATATGACTAGACCAATAACATAGGAAAAACTGTTCACTTGTTGTCCTTGCATATTTAAGTTTCGGTTGCAAGCTCACATCCGCCTTCGGATGGCCTTGGATGTTACGTCACAAGCGCGAAAAATTCTCGTCCGCATTTTTCTACCATCCGAGCCTCGATATATATTGACTTCAGCCACGTAGCACCTTTTTTGAGGAGGATAGACAAACGGGTGTTTTCTGTTTTGAAGACTGAAAGTCC